CTGGCATGTCCCTCTCTTTCAAATCCACAGCACCTTCCTATAGAATCAAAGCCTCTTTTCAAATGTACAACCCCTAACAGGGAAGAAGTATCCAGTAAGCAAGGGAAGCATGGGTTTACATTGGTTTATTTGCTAATCTACAGGGAACAGTTGTACATCATTCCAGATTAGTCAATAACCACAAGTATGTCTGTGCTTCCTTTGCTTACTGTGCAATCCGGCCCCGACTCAAAGAAATCAAAGGGTCTACTCCAGGGCTCTCCACCAGTTCAGGCTTAAGGCCAATGGAGAATCTCTGGTTTTGCCCAACTCCTCATCTTGGGTGTCCAACTCCTGGCCAACCTTCTTCCTGAGTCTCTATATTTTTATTTTTCAGCACTTGGAGTTTAGAAAAGTATAGCAAGAATATTGGTCCCACGTCTCCATTTATAGCAGGAAGCGCTCACAGGCTGGACTTTCGCCAAGTGTGGCTGGAATAGTTTTGGCAGCTCTGAGGCAGCACTGCAGTCAGTTTGTCTTAGCTGGACAGAAGCTGAGACGAGTCTCTTGAGCAGACATTTTGTCCAGGCTCTGCCTGTTCCAGCAAAGCGGGACAGTGTCCCGTAGACAGAGTCCAGCTGAGTGGAGGGCGCAGTGACACAGGCCAGGTGGGCAGAACGGGATGGGAACAGCTGGTTGGTTTGGGGACCCATGACCCCAGCCACAATTGGATTAGACCCAGGTGGTTCTGACTGCCCAGTATAGCCTATGGGTCAAAGAACCCTACAGGAATCGGGTAGCAACACGTGGTCAAAGATATATATCCGTGGCAATAAATATAGTTTATTATTATTCCACAGGACCATTTCATAATCTCATGCTACTTGCTATAAAACCCAGAGACAGTAATTTCTCAATGGACTTTCTTTTTAAAATAAGCATCTCACAGTGATGATTGCTCAAAATATTTTATTCCTAAACTATGTTAAACGATGCTAGCAACACTTCAACAAAGACCAAGAAGGACAGCTGTCTCCATTGAGAACATGTTGACCTTAGAATGGGTGTCCCTTTCCATTCGAATTCCACCCCGAACTTGTTTCCAATATTCAGGCAACTCCTTTTAAAGCTGATTGGGTCACCTGGCCCATTACCCACTTTTCAAAACCAATACTTTGTTCTTTAATATTTTCCCCTAAATACAGTGGTCTCACTGTCATCATCATCACCATCACCATCAATAGCCTTCCTCGAGTACTTTCTATGTGTCAGGCAATTTCTTGAGAATCGTATATGTGCTTGCTCATTTACTCTTCTTAGCAGTGACGGGCGTTATTGTGATCCCTATTTTACAGATGGCGGCAGACTACATAATGTGCATAAATAAGAGCAGCTGTCTTGGAACCAGGACCGATGCATTCTGGTAGGTTTTTGACTCCAAAACCTACCGTATACACTCGAGTATAAGCTGACCCGAATATCAGCCAAGGCACCTAATTTTACCCCAAAACTGCATTAAAAATGTGCTGAAAAACTCGACATATACACGAGTATATATGGTGATGCTAATATACCCTGATGGAACCCTGTGGAATCCCTTGCTGTTTCCGCAGCCCTTTCAGGTGTACCCTTTCCTTTTGACTCTGACAACTGAAACCACACGTAAGGTTTCACTTAAGTTGGAAAAGCTCATTTTATTTCTTCCAAGTCTAGGGAGTTGATTTAATATTTTATGAATGTTGAGTTTGAGAACTTGTTGGGGTTTTTTTTTCAGATGAAAACTACAGATTCAATTGAGAATTGGTTCTAGATGTAATTGAAAGTAACACCATGGGCTTCTTCACCTGGAAAAGAGCCATTCAACTGTAACTTATCTTCAGCCACTGTCTGTGGCTTCATTTTCCCCCGTAAAGAGGCACAGGCTTGCGAGTCTCAAGCAGAAATAGGGGATTCATTTCTTTAAACATCGTAAGGTGTAAGTGACTGAATTATAAACCAAAATAGCTTAGATGTTAATTTTTTTAAAAAAAATCATTTTACTGGGGGCTCATACAATTCTTATCACAATCCATACATATATCCATTGTGTCAAGCACGTATGTACATTCGTTGCCATCATCATTCTCAAAATATTTGCCTTCCACCTGAGCCCCTAACATCGGCTCCTCTCTTTTCCCCTTCCCTCCTGCCTCCCCCATCCCTCATGAACCCTTCATAATTCATAAATTATTATTATTTTGTCATATGTTACACTGTCCAACGTCTTCCCCCGCCCTCTTCTCTGTTGTCCATCCCCCAGGGAGGGGGCCATACATAGATTCTTGTAATCGGTTCCCCCTTTTTACCCCACATTCCCTCCACCCTCCAGGTATCACCACTCTCACCACTGGTCCTGGAGGGGTCATCTGTCCTGGATTCTCTATGTTCCTAGTTGCTATCTGTACCAATGTACATCCTCTGGTCTAGCCAGATTTGTAACATAGAATTGGGATCATGATAGTGGAAGGGAGGAAGCATTTAAGAACTAGAGGAAAGTTATATGTTTCATCATTGCTACCCTGCACCCTGACTGGCTCATCTCCTCCCTACAACCCTTCAGTAAGCGTGTGTCCAGTTGCCTACCGATGGGCTTTGAGTCTCCACTCTGAACTCACCCTCACTTACAATGATATGATATTTTGTTCTTTGATGTCTGATAACTGGTCCCTTCTACACCTCGTGGTCAGACAGGCTGGTGTGCTTCTTCCATGTGGGCTTTGATACTTCTCAGCTAGATGGCTGCTTGTTTTTCTTCAAGCCTTTAAGACCCGGACGCTATATCTTCTGATAGCCGGACACCATCAGCCTTCTTCACCACATTTGTTTATGCTCACATTTTTCATCGGCAATCGTGTCTGGAAGGTGTGCATCCTGGAATGCCAATTTAATAGAACAACGTGTTCTTGCATTGAGTAAGTACTTGAGTGGAGGCCCAATGTTAGACATTAACCTTCATAATTACATAAATAACATGCTCTTCTACGTACAGATTTGCATATCCTAGGCCAAACTTCAGAAATGATTTTCAGACATTGTAGAATTTCCCTTTGGGCACTTACATATACCTCTGTTCCTCTTCCTTGATCTGGAGAATGAATAATTTATTCCATTTATAGCCACAAAGGTTTAAAAAGGACATAAATGAAAATGTAGGCTAATCAAAATATATTGAACTCTTTGTTGGATTGGTTTCTTTTCATGTTGCTCATTTGTAGTTCTAAAATTTGCAGTTCCCCAATTTTTGACACATCATCATTGAAAAGCTTTTGAGTTTCTTGTCGAAAGAAAGTGGACTTATCACCATCCCCACATCCCCCAAAATGGGACACAAATAATACAAATGCTACTACTTGAACCTAGGCTGTGTCTTTGGGTTAAAGCCTGTTTTCTTCAGTACATTACAGAGGGGCCCATGGAAGAAAGAATCAGTATTTCCATATCATGGAGAAGTAATCCAAGTCCTTGAAAGGGGTAAACACTCAAGATCACTTGAAGAGCCAAGCCGGATCCCGGATCCTCGGAGAGCACCTGCCTCAGTACAGGTCTCATACACTTGTAATGAATGGTAACAATGTTATCCCCCATGGACAGTCACACAAGCACTCCTGAACAACTTTCTCAGTGGAAAGCATCTTAGGGAAGACTGGGCTTAGGTTACGTTTCCTGGACCATAAATATCTTTAGAAACAAGTTCTAGAGGAATTAGGAAAAGCTGATGCCCAAATCAAGATCATAATACATGTCAGTGCTTAACCTAACCAAAGGACATAGACCAGGAAAACATCCCTAGAAACAGGCAGCTGTATTTCATCTTAGCAAGGCAGACCAAAGTAAATAAACACCTGCTGTTTCCAACAGCTGTGTAGCTTGTTGGAATGCTGTTGGACCACCAAAGTTATGGACAGTAGTAATATTTTTCTCAGGGTGGCAGGGAGACCTCGTGAGGTGAGGTCCTATAGTCTGCCAAGGAGCCAAGGCTTGAAAACCCCTGAAGAAACAGAATGATGTAGGAATGGGATCGGATGTGTCCAGTCATAAACCCAACTTCCATTTTTTTTGCTAATGGTCCTTGTAGTTCTTTGAATTCAAGGCCAACACAAATGATTTGCTAAACTTGAGTTTCATCATGTCTTTGGTTTCAAAAGGGACATGGGAGTAAAATATACTGGATTCCAAACTTGGGGAAGAGATTTTACATTGGTTATCCTAGTTAATCCAATGATAACTTTCAATAAACATTTCATATTCTCACAACACAGAAGATGAAGATGAGACTCACAGAATAATTAATGGGAAGGCACCTAGATTGTATACTGGAGTCGGGATTTGGATCCAGATGTGAAAATTCTGTGTCTACTGACATGGCTGCCTCCTTGGGAATAAATCAATATTTGCTTGGGGTGTGTGTGTGAAGTTTGATTATGATCCCCTGAATCCTAAAACGATCTTAAACCCAGCAGACGGCACTCCCCTTTTCTAGACAGACAAGGATATTTGTGGAAGATGCCCCAGCCTGCATGAGAACCAGCATTTTTCAAAGTGAAGATAAGGAAGGAACGTGACCTGTTTCCCAAAGCTCTGGTAGCATGAATGGAGTGCACTCTCTTACTTATTAATGGAATTGTTCTGAATCCTACCTGCCATCCCCTCATGAGGACAGAACCTTGGGCACAGAGCAGGCATTCTCCTACTATAGAACACATTTGATTTATAGATTTTTTTGAGGAATGAATTTTATACTCTTTTCTTATTCATCCTCCAAGGTAAGAGCATTCCGTACCTTTCCAGAACTAATTTTTGACTCATAATTTTCATTCAAACTTTTAAGAGCACAAAGCAATGAAATACCATGAAGTGATGTTGCACTATTCTTCAACAATAGGCCACACACTGTAGTGTACGTGTGTTTGTCCAGATCAGTAGAGAATATGAACACAATCCCACCCAAAGTCTTTATAGGACTATAGAATTTTTTTTAACACGGGGGGAGAGCACAAACGCAGTCCCCTGCTACCACAAATTATGCAGTCGAGTTTCCCACATTTGGGGAAATCGCAGGGGGTCAGCACATCTGGAGTGCAATGGATAAGCCTCGCCCTGGGAGAAACACCTTTGTGATCATGGTATCTCTCCTGCCAGGTAAGTATGGTCCATAGGATTTTTCAGGTAATTCCTAAGTTCCTCCTACTAGAAAGATTTCGGCAGACAGAGGCTACGTAAACGTTGTCTTTTGTAGTTAAATACACGTGTCTAGATGTTCACATCTAGTGTATAGACTTTCTGGGAGAAAGTAGAAAGAAAAGCCAGAATTCTTAGGTAATTCTTCTTCTTCTTCTTTTTTTTTTTTGTATGCATCTCCCAATCTCCATGCTCTTTGCAGTTTTTACATGCTGGCTTCCAACAATTTGCTAACCATGAACCAAACCAAAAAGCCAACCCTGTGCTATCAAGCAGATTCTGAGGCTTATGACCCTCTCTAGGGTGTCTGAGGTTGTAAGCTCTTTATGGGAGCAGACTGCCTCCACTTTTTCCTGAGGAGTGTCTGGTGGTTTGAATCACCAAACTTGTGGTTAGCCATCCAATTCTTCACCGGCAGCATCAACAGAATGCCCCACGATTACGGAGGAAGTAATTTTGACAAATCCCTCCAGGATCTCCATGGGTACAAGAATGAATGGGGACAGACCCATTCTTCATATTAAACATGAAAAGTAATTCAAGATGAATCACAACCCAAATGGAAGAGGTGAAACTCATGGAATAAAATACAAGGGGGCTTCAAAAAGTTGATGGGAAAAAGTCATTCTCTTTCATTCTGATTTTCCATGAACTTTTTGAAATCCTTTGGAGACTATTTTAATAACCTCGCATCAAGTAAAAACTTTAAAAATCGTCAGGCAAACACTTACTAGGTAGGCTACCCAAAGTACAACCCAAAAAATGAAAAACCGAGGAAGTGGACTCCACAAACCAATTAGCTTCAATGGACACACACCTTCAGGAACGTGGAAAAGACAACACAAAGGATGAAGCAAACGATTCACACACCAAGTGCCTTATAAGCGATTTGTATCTAAAGTACATAAAGAACTCATGACTCAAGAAACAAAACAGCTCCATTAAAAGGTAGACAAAATAAATAATAGACCTTCTCCAAAGTCAATATCCTCCTGGACAATGATCCCGTGAAAAGTGCCCAGCATCACCGGAAAAACCAAAGGAGATGCCAGTTCAAAGTCATTGGGATGTACCGCACTAAAAAAAGGTACAGAAAACTATCAAGACTCTCATGTACTACTGGTGGGAACTGAAATGGTGCAGAGCTTCGGAACACAGTCCAGCCCTTCCTCACAATGTGAAACATAGAGCTGCCGTATGACTCATCAAGTGTACCCTTAGCTAGAAGCCCAAAATGAAATAAAAACACATGTTTATGCAAAAAGGGACACATTCAAAATGGCTAGACAGTTGAACAGCCCAACTCTCTATCAGAGGGTGAAGAGATAAAGTAGCTATCCACATAATGGGATATTAGTCAGCTATGAAACGGAATATAACACTGACACAGACTACTACATGCATGAACCCTGAAAACATTATGCTCAGTGAAAGAAGCCAGTCGCAAAAGGCCATGTGTTGTATGATTTTATTTTTGCGAAAACTCCATCGTAGACCAATTTACACAGACGGGGAGACTGGTTGTTGTCTAGGACTTAAAGTGTGTTGTGACTACTAATAGGGAGGCAATTTCTTTTGGTGGGTGACAAAATGCTCTAACGTTAATTGTGATGATAATTGTACAAGTTTGTCAATGTCCTGAAAATGTTCATCTGTACAATTTAAATGGGCAAATTGCCTAGTATATGATGTATTTCTTAATGATACTATTTCAAGAGGTACAATCATAAGCTCATGCATATCAAAGATGTCTCCATGACTTAGAGTCAACTAGACAGCGACTAACAACAGTGCCAATGTATTTTTTAAAGGAAGAAAAGAAAAAGATACTCATTTCAGCAATCAATTCACCTTAGAATCACCTAGGAACCTTCGCATATCCCAATCTGCACGCCCTAGACTAATTCCATCAGAATCTCGTAGGTAGGACTCAGTTAATGGTGTTTCGTTTGTCTGTCTGTTCACTTCCCCAGGTCATTCCAGTGCCTAGTCATTTTCTTTTGGAGAGGACAAAAATGCCATAATAAGTTCTTCATTCCCTTGATGTGGGTGATCCGATCTCCTGGAAGTCCCCTAGAAGGAATACTGGGTACCACTAGGAAAACACTGGGAACTCCAGTCTCTGATTTCCTTGTTCGTCACCGGCAGATGGCACATGCAGGCTTCTATGGCACTTATATTGAAAGCAGTGCTCACATAGGTTTTCTGAAACAAAGCGCGTTAATTAAAGAGGCTCATTTTGGTTCTTTCTTCTTGGGCCTCGTGGTTTCACAAATATTAATTTACTGCTGGAACAATTCAGTTCCCAGGGAACAGGAAATCCACAAACTAATACTTCCTTTCCTATTTTTGAGGGCAACAGTTAAGAAAAGGAGAGAAAGGACTGGTACATGTTTCAACTGGTATAACTGATCATTCAACACAGTCGTATCAGGTACTGATAAACAGGAGAGTGGAACCACAGATGGGTGGGTGCCTTGTGCCCGGCCAAGTCGTTCAAATGATGAAGTGGTGTTTTCCAATGTGGAAGTCCAGAACCAGGACAGTAGTTCAAAATAAGCATGGGAATTTTCCCTTAAAATAAGTTGCAAGGAAGGAAAAATATATTTTAGAATATTCATCTATTATTACTAGAACTAAAAGTCAGCTACAATGAATATTTAAGTGAATTGATTAAGAACTTAAGAATTGATGGCAAAAGAGCATTTGGGGCAGGTATCAATAATAATTCTTAAAAGGAGAAAAGTGTTGAAGGATTGGTTTGACATTTACAATGTTCTAAAAATAACCCCCCCTGGAGTGACCCATCAAAGGAATTTATTGTCACCTACAACGATGTGCTATGCAAGCTGGCTATTCAGTTGTTTATAAATTTGTTCCAAATTTCTGAAACCATACTCATGATATAAAACCCAATGTAGCCATCAGCGGGCACACAGAAACACTTTCTCTTGTCTGCTTTGTGCTTTGGTCCTCTGGCATTCAACCATGAATAAAACAGGCACGTGTATATTCTTGGCAATCAGTCTTTTTTTTTTTTTTAAGTCAGAGTAATTTTTATCCGTGTTAATGTGCACAGTCAAGCAGGCCCGCGTGAGTGTGCATTTAGAACATTCAGAAAAATCACTTTTCACACAGAATTTACTTCTAGCACTCCTGCATGGTCATTTGTTTTCAAAGTGAAAGAGCAGTTCATTCTCTTTCAGAAAAACAAACAAGCAAAAAGCTAGCAACGGAAACAGCCTGCATTACATATATAGAGATAGTGAAATCCTACTGGTGGCCTTGGACCAAAGAATAATTCTTTTCTTGAGTCTGTCAAGCTATTGTAGATGTAGCTTCTCCAGAAAAATGAAAATGTACAACCAAATGATCACTTCAAGCCCCCAACAACCTCTATACCAGGGACTTCAGAAAACTCCTGGGGAATCCCACAATCTTTTAGTTCCATTTCCCCCCAAAGTTTTGGACGCATCCTTGCATTGTACTAGAACTGTGTGATGATGGAGAGAATGGTGCTTGTGACGAGACTCAAACTTTAAAAAGAGAAAGAGCAAACCTGTTGCCAGTGGGTCAGCTCTGACTCAAACCAGCCCAGCGGCACAGAGGAGAACTGTCCCAGGGGGTGTCCAAGGCTGTAACCTTTGTGGCAGCAGACTGCCACTTCTCCCACAGACTGGGCCCATACTACTGATCTTTGGGTTCGCTGCTGAGCAGGTTCCCATTTAAAAAATAATAATAAAGTGGGATTAAGAGGTTGGGCAAAGAATCATAATAGATGCAATCCAGAACTCAGATGACTGAAAATGACTCATGTAAAAAACAAAACAAATATCCACACATATATTTTTGTCAACAACTTGTTCTTCTCAGTCTACCCAAAAGATACGATGATGGTAAAAATGACCCAATTTGAGGCTTGGACTCCTTTTTTCAATTGGTAGACACATTGACAGGAAATGTATTACCAGGCGACAGGACTGACTGCATGATTTTCAGGGTACAGTGAAAAATGAAAATGTAGGACTCCTCGTTCAGAAATTATTAAGATGGTGAGAGCAGTAGATCACTAAACCAAGCTCCTCGGAGGGTGAGGACCTATGCCACTGCATAAGTGGCACATCCATTCATCCAGCCCCTGTCTATAGGTGAGAGCTAAGTGATGCAATGGTTTACCTAACCCATGCTCTGATTTCCTATCTTCTACTTTATCTTTTCTTGACCAAATGCTCACATTTATAGACCATTCCCGCTGGAAAACAGTTTAGGAATCCCCTGCTTCAATAGAAACCAATACCCCGAGAAATTAAATGCCTTGTCCAAGGTCAGGGGTTGAATGACATTTCAGGTATCCTGACTCATACTAAAGCATCTTTCCCTCTACAGCACATGGCTGGTCTCCAGTTTAAGTGTAAACAATCCAAACATAGTAACTAAAAAAAAAAAAAAGAAGAAGAAGAAGAAGGAAGGAAGGAAGAAAAAGAGAAAGAAAAGACCTCTTTATTGCTGCACAGTATAAAATTCAGTTAAAAATTAATTTGAAATGCCTTTTCTAAGGCAACCCTTCTACTACCCAAGGTAAAGACATCATACAATAGTCTTAACCAGGGTCTTGGCCCAGTTCTTTCTGATTGAGTCCTGGCTGAGTGTTTGCTCATTGACATGTTTCTGAACTTGTAAAATATGGGCACATTGGAACAATAACCAGAAGAGAAACCATTACAGGTCAACACCCTTCTAGAAACTTAATTTCCCTCGTAGAAAACACGGATGGCAGATTGTTGCATAGCGACCAAGTCTCGTGAATTATAGGGTCAGAAACAACCATACCCAGCTTAAAATGGCAGCTACCCAAGCCACATTGAATGTGTGTTGCCCTCCACAATACTGGCAATGGTCCAATCTAATTCCCTAAGCCTATTCCCATTCTCCCATTTCAGGGCTTTACTTTGTAATTGTTCCCATTCTG